ATGAATCTTGGGTTGATCTCAAGCATCACAAAGCTACCAGTCATGGAGTTAGGAATCAAGACAGGTCACCAGTCATGAGTCAGGAGTCACAGAAAACCCAGGGCTAGTGGCCCATGAATCTTGGGTTGATCTCAAGCATCACAAAGCTACCAGTCATGGAGTTAGGAATCAAGAGAGGTCACCAGTCATGAGTCAGGAGTCACAGAAAACCCAGGGCTAGTGGCCAAAGGAAAATTCCCAGGTCGCTGGGGAATAAAGAATGATGGGAGAAGAGCAAAGGGGTTGTGGAGTAGCAAAGATGGAAAACCAGGTCTCAGAGGCAGGTCACTGAGGATGCAAAGGACTCTGGAAGGTCAAGGAAAAGTCAGAGGGTAGGGAAGGTCAGAGGTCATGGGGACAGTGGCACACAGGCACTCACCAGTGACTGGCTGCCCCCCGTCATACTTGGGTGGCTCCCAGACAAGGATGGCCCAATCCTCTCCAACTGAAGTGACTCGCACAGCCTCCGGAGGATCTGGGACATCTGAGGGGGGCAGGAGAGTCAGGGGGCCCCTCCTGGCCTCAGGGAGCCACCCCATGGCTCAGCCCCTCAGCTTTCTCTGCTCACCCACAACCCGCAAGAAGATGGAAGCCACATCCTCGCCGAGGGGGTTGGTGACCTTGATGGTGTAGCGGCCTTCGTCTGCCCGCTCGGCACTCTCAATCACAAAGCTGCTAGAGTCCACCCGCTGCTCGATGCGGGTCCGGCCCTCCGTGGTCGAGAACACCTGGACACAGCCACCAGACGTCCTAGCTCCACATCTTCTCCCCAAACCCAGGCCTGCCTCCACTCCCCCACCCCGCTCAAAAGTCTTCAATGGCTCCCCATGGCCACAAAACGCAAAACTCCCTGGACTCGGCACAAGAGCCCCTTTTGGATCTCCACCCAGCTTCATCATTCCTCTCTACTGCCTTCCTTGCCCTCCTTCAAAACACCAGACTGTCTAGTCCCCAGGACTTTGCAAAGCTGTTCCCTGTACATAAGACACTATGCTCTTACTCATCCTTTAGGACCCACCCAGAAGTCACCTCCTCCAGGAAGCCTTCTTGGATGCCCCCCAGCTGAAAGTGGCCCCATCCCCTGGATTCTCATCGCTTCTGGTATCTCCCTTTATCTCTGCCTCCAACACCCTGGACTGTGCCTGTCTGGGCACTTGACTGCCTCTCCCCAGAAGTGAAGGCTCCTGGAGGGCAGGAGCTGTGTCTGATTCATGTTTGTATCCTCAATGCCTATGCAAAAAGCCTGGCATAGATAGGAAACCTCAGGGGATGCTTGCTGAGTGAGTGAATGAACGAAGATTTAGCTAAATCTGTCCATTTTACAGAAGAAAACTGAGGCATAGAGGAGAGATGAAAAATTAAATTATCCCAGGGCCTGGGACATACAAGGTTAACATACTTGTTGGATGGATGGATGGAGGGACAGATGGATGGATGGATGGATGACATATCAATAAGCGGATAGATGAATTTCTGAATGGACGGATGGATAACTGGATTCATTGACAAATAAATGGACAAAGAGATTAATTGCTGGATGGATGGATGACTGGATTTACCCATTGATTGGTTAATTAACTGCTGGATGAATGGATTAATGAATGGAGCACCCACCATGTGATAGGCCTGAACCAGGTGATGGACAAATGTAATCTCCAATCTTCAAAACAATCCTATGAAAATGGAATCATCATCCTTATTTTATGGAGGGTGAACTGAGGCTCAGAGAAGAAAAGCAACTTGCCCAAAGTCATCCAGCAGAACTGAGAGGGACAGGAACTCAGGTCAGAGGGGAAGCCCCAACCCACCTCGTCTCCCTTCAGCCAGGTGGCCACGGGAGGGGGCTCCCCTGAGATGGCTACATCCATCCTCAGCTTATTTCCAGCCACGACTACAATGGAATTCTCTGAGGTCTTCCCTGAGCAGTCCAGGTGGATCTTTGGTGGCTCTGGTGGCACAGAGAGACATGGGGGAGCTTGGGGGTGGGCAGCCGAGCCCTCCCAATCTCCACCAGAGGAATCCTCCAAGAAGCGAGGTTACAACAGCAAGAGAACCAGGAGCCCAAGTCCCCAACTGCCCCTTCCCTCAGACCCGTGAACACCAGAGGAATCCTCCAAGAAGCGAGGTTACAACAGCAAGAGAACCAGGAGCCCAAGTCCCCAACTGCCCCTTCCCTCAGACCCGTGACCCCAGGCCCCCAGCCCCTCCTCCCTCAGACCCGCGAACCCAGGCCCCCGGCCCCCCTCCTCCCTCGGACCCAGGAGTCCCGGCCCCCAGCCCCTCACCAGAGCACTCCTTGATCTTACCTTGCTTAGGTACATACTCCACTTTGATTTCTGGAAGACAAAGAAGACTGGACAGTTAGGTCTAAATCCAGTAGGCTCCTCACCCCACCTTCACAACCCGGCGGAAGAGGCAAGGGTCTGGCAGTCACTCTGAGAACTGGGGCGCTGAGTGTGAGGTTCCGGCCCATGAGCCACCCCTACTCCCATGGGGACTCCCTTCATCTTCTTGTCTGACTCTTCCCATGAGCTCAATAGCCACTTGCTGTCATCCTTATTGTGCAATTAGGGAAAGTTAATCCTGAAGAGAGGCATCCTGGGGCCCTGGGGTCTGGGAGGGTGGGTCCTACAGCCCCCCAGGAAAAGGAAGGGACATCTTCACCCAAGAAGTTGAGCTTGGCTGAGAGAGACAGAGCATAGCCATCAGGCACGAATGTGTAGTCTCCCTCATCCTCTGGACGGACGTCATCAATCACCAGCTTGTGGGTCCTAAAGGGTTGGGGGAACCAGGGCAGGGTTAGGCCAGGTCAGCCTGGGGATCACCACAGAGCCAGACTGCCCCATCTGTTCCCCTCAATGCTCCTTTGAGAAACACCCAGCATTTTTAGTCAGGGCTGTGGAATGCTATGGC